ATAAGCGCGCTCAGAGCGCATACTCCGCTCAAGAGCAGATAGCCTTGTACGAGAACTTTGTCGACACATCGATGCAACCGCTGGGGACGGTGTTGATAGTGTCAGTCGGTGTACCACTGCAGTCACCGGAGGTGTAGAACTCGACTATTGTCATCAAATTCGTTAGTATCCATCACAACAGGTAGCATCTTTGGTTTTGCTCGCAGTACGGACTTACGGCGGCAGTTGGCGCGAGTCTTCTCCAAGTAGTAGACGCGGGCGCTCTGCTGGGGCAGGAAGGTGCATGTGTTGCTGTTGATGTTCTGGACCTGGTTGGCGGGGGGCGCGCAGCCGGCGTTGGCGTAGGTCTCGACTGGGGACTCGATGTTAGCGGATGTGCAGTCTGCGTAGAGGTAGAGGAAGCATACAAGAAGCTACGTTCTCGAGCTGAATCTGAGCAGCAGCAACTGAGGCCATGATTGCGGCAACGATGGTGGAGGTGAACTGCATCTTGAAGATTGGGAGCGAGAAGCTGTTTTTATGAATTGAAAGATATTGAAGGTGGTGATACTGTTGAAGCTGCTGTCGTAGTGGTCCTTTTCATCACGCCCTTTCCTGGGGTCTTTATACCCTCATTTTCCAATGTCCTCGGTCTTCTCCGCTGCCTCCTCGCGTTGGAGGCTTTCGATAAAATTTGTCGTGGCTTGTTGCGGTGTAGAGGATACGAAGCAGATTCATCATCATAATTGATGGGCGTGATATTCGAGTGGCTAAATCTGACCAGAATATGCCTCGCCGCGGGATGTCATCCGGAAAGATGTAGTTTGATGAGTATATGGGGAAATTTGCTCGCGCACCTGACGCCGTGGCTTTGAAGTTGTAAGCGCAATATCCACCAATGTGATCGTTGAGGGTGGCGATGTGGAATCTGCTGGCCTATAGAGTCCTCACTTTACAGATCGACGGAAGTGATCTTTGTCGATGTGGCTGACAACGGGGAACATGGCAGCCTTCGGGCCGCTGCTGCAGAGACCGGTCCGCAAAGCAATCCTTCTCTCTAGAAGATGAATGCATTAGCGTACCGTGGCTGAGCGGGGTCAAGTGTGATATAAGGGCCTATCTTTGGACAAGATCTCTATATACCTCATCTTAGTATTCAGTTGAGCGTTGTGTGTAAGAAGCCGTTCGTCATCTGCTCGTTTCCTTTGACGAAGCTGTGAGACTGAGACATTTTGCGCGTGGCGGGGGGCTCTCGAGGCTAGGTCGACAAGCACGTGATATGTGGTGTTATTTGAGACACCACATGCATGCGCGACTTACAATGCAATGCAGCCGGTAAGAAAAACGTGCATGGATACTACAATGTGTTGGTGCTAGTATGACACGAACGTATGCACCAATGGAACGGAAGGACCCGGCTGACATGCCTGATCAAAAGGCTTATGCAAACAACTGTTGGATTGATGTCCTGGAGCGAGAGAGCATAAGCAATGCGCGTGCTCCATCTCGGCAGAAACCCAAATTTGAGGGCACCGAGTACTCGAAGTCTACATCGGGAAATCTTGTGAAAAACACAAAGCCCTCCCTTACGCCTAAGCAGTCCTCTGCTGTATCCTGGTCATGTCTTTCGTAACTTTTCAATGGTACGTGTGTATAATCATCGTCTAAAGCAAAAACCCTCGAATGTGTTCAGAGCGGCATAGACATGCGCTCACACTGTTGAGCAGCTGCTTAATTGAAATCGTTCATGTTGTGTAAGCTGATGTCCTGGCTGCTGGTAACACGTCGCTCTTCCCCGTTACCGTTAGCCAGGGCGTCACTCGTGGAGGTCTGGCTGACACCGTTGGCCGGTTGCCAATCGGGTTCTCCATTCCCATCCGATGGAATGACGTTGCCATGTTGATCGACCTCCTGTTGTAATATGCGTTAGTCACAAGGGGTTTTCTAGACAGTACTCAGACGTTCAACTTACAACACCTTTGGCAGCCATGCGCACCTGCTGAGGATTGGCTGTACCGTGTACAACGGCCTCTCGTGCCTTCTCCATGACTTTCTGTTTACGACTCTCCCCACGGATTCTCTCGAGATGCTCGAAATAGCCAGCGTCAACCGGTGTGACATATTTTCCGCAGAAAACACCAACTTCAAACTTTTGGGTCGCAGGGTCTCGAGGGGAGAGGCTTGCACAAGCGCTCTGTAGATCCTCGAGGTTCTGGTAAACGACATCGTCAGCACCAATGTGCTTAGCAATCGCTGCTGAGTCGCGGTGGTGCGCAATAAGCTCCGAGGACGAGGCCAGATCGATACCATAGATGTGTGCATATGTGATAGGGGGCGCACAGGAGGTGAAGTAGACCTTCTTAGCTCCCGCTTCCCGCGCCATCAGGACGATCTCGCGAGAGGTGGTACCCCGGACGATAGAGTCGTCTACCAGCAAGACATTTTTGCCCTCGAACTTCTTCTTCATAGGATTTAGCTTCGCGCGGACGCCCTTCTGTCGTAGTTGTTGCGATGGCATGATGAATGTGCGGAAGATGTAGCGGTTCTTCACGAAACCCTGTACGTATGGTTTCTCAAGTGCCTCAGCAACGCACAGAGCAGAAGTGATGGAAGTCTCGGGAATTGGCATAACCACGTCGATCTCGGCCATGGTCTTGGGACCCAACTGCTTCTTGATAGTCTCGGCAAGGGTGAACCCCATGTTGCGTCGACTCTCATCTACGTCGATACCGTCGATGACGGAGTCAGGACGGGCGAAGTAAACGTACTCGAAGATATCCGGAGTATACGCCTCTTGCTTGGCGACTTGCCTGAAGACTGGCTCTTTGCCCTTCTCGATGATAACGGCTTGACCAGGGAGGATGTCGGAGAAGTCCTTGTAGCCACACTGGACCAGCGCCACGCTCTCGGATGCCATCATGTAGTCCATGCTCTTGCCGTCCTGCGACTTGCGAGAACCTAGCACCATAGGGCGAATACCGTAGGGATCACGGAAACCGATGAGACCGAAACCTGGGGCAAATGTCAGCGCCTGTACAGTCATAATATATGGCATCTCGTCAACGTACCAGCAAGCATGGCCGTGCAGGCCCATCCACCAGTACACAGCGTGTACATCCTCTCTAGCGCCTTGAAGCAATCGTCAGCGTTGATACGCGCCTTGCCCGTCTCGTTGAGCTCATCGGCAAAGATGTTGAGCATGAGCTCGCTGTCGCTCTCGGTGTTGATGTGCCTGTGGGCCTCGTGATCAAGTCGCTGGCGCAGCGCAGGGGCATTGATGAGATTGCCGTTGTGAGTCATACAGATACCGTACGGGCTGTTGACGTAGAAGGGCTGAGCTTCAGCATTCGCACTGCTGCCGGCGGTGGGGTATCGCAGGTGGCCAAGGCCCATGAAGCCGGGAAGGTCGGACACGCGGGCGCCGTCTTGGAAGACCTTGGAGGCCATACCGTTGCCCTTGCACTGGTGGAAGCGACCACCGGCACTGCAGCTGACTATTCCGGCAGCATCTTGCCCGCGATGTTGGAGAAGGTAGAGAGCATCGTGCACCTCGACCGAAGCCGATTGCGACTTGGGATCACCGTGGATCACAGCAATGATACCGCACATTTCGACGTGATGGTGGGGTCTGAGGGGCTTTGGAGCAGATACTGGGTTTTATATGCTAATAAGACGCGTCAGTTCACGGTAACAATTCGGAAGACGCGGAATGCTTGTGAGTGGGGTAGTCTCTCAGGAAGTCGTTGTGCGCTCATTAGGAATCGCAAGTCTAACATCTTTATAATATGACAAGATCATCATAGGGACGGTGGGTGGGTAAGAGAAGAGTGATAGTAACGTACCCTGAAGTTTTTCGCAGACCTCACTAAAGAGGGGGTATCGTAGAAGAAGGAGAAGTAATACTATGGCCGTTGGGCACTAAATGCAGCAGCAGTCCATCTACTCCGGCAGTAATATGCTCAATGTGGGCGTCGTCGTCGTCTGCGTAGCGTCGTCGCGGGATTGTTGTCCCAGCTGGCGATGGCGTTCGGGCTCATGGTTATTGGAAAGTAGGAGCGCTCTAGTGGGGAAGGGGCAGCATGATAAACAATTTTTTTCCTCGCCGCACCTGCACTTCCGCTCTATGGGGCTTGGCGCCATTCCGAAGCCGGGAGGCGCAACCCCACATGTTGCTACTTCTCCTCGTACAATCAAAACGAACGTTAAGATACAAGATCGTAGTGGCATTCGCGCTCTTGACGAAACAAGGCAAGACAAGCAGGCTTCTATTATTCACAATGATATTTGTACTCTGCCACGTTCAATTTCGTGACCGGGACCATGGTCCTCTGCATTCGTCCTGGGTTTCCTGCCTCTCTATACAAAGAGTCAAACCTTTCCATGTCTTCTATACGCGATCGAATAACTCCAGAGTGCATTGTGGCGCAGTTGCTGTCTACTACACGATCACGATGTTAAGTACCTTTGCATACATACCAGTCCAGTATGGAAGAGCGCATTCGCTCATAATAAAAGGCTGGAGGAGAGTTGTCTGGTGGGGAAACAAGATGATAGAGTTACGGGACGTTAGAAGGCAATGTCCCTACCTAGCTACAGCGACCCTTATACCGCCGACGCTGCCTTGTTACGCCTTTAGAATTGCTTACTTCACAACGTCGCACAAACCCCAAAGTTATCAGCATGACTAACAACACCCATCCCGGCTACTGACGCCTCCTGTCAATCTGGCAGCCCTTCTGTACACAAACGTTGCCACGATCTCACCAGCAGCCATTACGGGAAAACTAGCACCAGCAACATACCTTTTACAGAAAGACGCGCATCAGCACTTGATCAAATACTAACCGCACACTTCTACAAAAACGAAAATGAAGATGAGGATAAAGATAAAAACGAAGAAAGTGCTACGTCTGGTTCAATACCAACACTGCGCGTTGTCTATCATCTTTACACCATGACGGCAACATCTGAACATCTCAAACGAACCAAGTGAAGATACGGACCGATTTTGCCGCGATACGATGCGTGCGAACAATGACGTCCGGCACTGGCTTGAGCTTTACAAAAAGCCTAAGCCTGGCGCGAAAGTCACCAAGTCCATATCTCTGATCAAGTACGGTACCGGCTTGAACGGCTTCCCTGGCATCTGCCACGGTGGCGCACTATTGACGCTCATGCACGAAGCAATGCTACACATCCTTGTCGCCAATACGGTGCTTGAAAACGGTCTTGGCTTTATGAAAGTTGGGGAAGACTATTGGAGGTTACAGCTTCACGATGGCAAGTCGGCACAAGAGGTGCTCAAGGGCCGTTTAACGACGGCAACAATGAATGTAAAGCTTCTGGCGCCGGTGCTTTGCCCAGGTGTTGTCGGCATTGAGACGGACGTACTTGAAGACAAAGGCACCAAGATGAGGATCAAAGCTACTATGAGGGATCGACAGGGCAAGCCGTTACTCAAAGTGGAAGGATTGTGGGTCAAGATTCGCGGTGCAGCAAAACTATAATTGTGAATAGCAGTACTGTGCCAAATGTACCGCAAGAATCGCACACGCTTCTATGATTATATCCTACGCTCCTGAGTACCCTCAAACAGACTCGAGTAACCTGCCACCGAACGTCTATTCCCATCGCACGTGCACAGGGATCCCGGCTGATTTCGCATTGATCTCGGGCACGCTAACCAACACGAGATCTTTAATCTATTGGTCCTTCCTGCAACGGCAAACCTCCGAGATCAGTGCCTGCAGCAATACGTGCACTGCGCAGCATGTAAACACACATGCTACCCCTCTGACCTATCATTCGCCATGACGTCTAAGGTAACATAACCTATCTAGCACCACACCTGCGAGTCACTGCAACAAACATCAAGGTCTTTGTATACTTAAGAGCAAGAGTACATTGACATAAAGTTGGATTAGTCTACGCGATCCAGTTGACTGGTTCTCAGTACAGCTCAAGATGTATTCCATTCTTACCTCCGTCTGTGCTTTCTCCTCTCTACTTCCTCTGGCCATTGCCCAAACCTCTGGAACGTTCAATACTCTTACCTTCAATGTCGCTGGTTTACCCGCTCTCTTGAACGGCAACGACGTTCCTGGAGACAAGGAGACCAACACCGCTCGCATTGGGCAGCTGTTTTCCAAATACGACATCTCCGTTATCAACGTTCAAGAGGACTTCAACTACCATGCTACCCTCTATGCGAACGACGACCACCCGTACAGGACGGCTACTAGCGGGGGAGTACCCTTTGGCAGCGGCCTGAACACTCTGAGCAACTATCCTTTTACAGGCTTCCAGAGAGTCAAGTGGAACACATGCAGTACTTTTGAGTAAGTCAAGTTGAACCGAACCAGGAGAACGATATGGTAAAAGCACGGCACTAACAAAACGTCTCTTGAACAGTAGTGCGGATTGTCTCACACCAAAGGGCTTCACGTTCATGCGTGTTAAGCTCACTGAAGGCGCAGTAGTGGACATGTACAACCTACACGCCGACGCCGGGTAAGTCCTCCTTACTCTTCTCTATCTCTACATCGCCAACTGATTTCTGCTCAGCACCACAGCCGCAGACAACAAGGCTCGTGCAGCCAACCTCCGCCAGGTTTCCGACTACATCAAGACCAATTCAATCGGCAACGCCGTGGTCGTCTTCGGCGACTCAAACTCGCGGTACACGCGCACCGACGATATCCCCGACGTCTTCAAGACCGAGAATGGTATGACAGACGTTTGGCTGCAACTCGTCCGTAATGGCGTCGCACCCGCAAAGGGCGCCGATGCTCTTATCTGCTCGAACCCTTCTACTACCAACACGTGCGAAATCGTCGACAAAACCTGGTACCGTGGATCTTCTGCTCTGACGCTCACGGCGAAGAAGTTCGACTACGCAGGCCACATGTTCCTGCAGGAGAACGGCGATCTACTGAGTGACCATAACGGTGTGCTCGTGGACTTCTCTTGGAGCCTGGTCGACCGCATCAGCGTCTCCGATGTCTTTGGCGGCGAGGAAGGTACGTGGTACAATGACTTGATCACTGTTGCTGGTCTCGCCAGCCCAAAAGTTTCTTCCATTACGCTCCGCGGTTCGGAGCGCGTTGATGCGGTTTCCGTGACTCTTGCTTCAGGACAGACGCTTTCGCATGGTGGGACTGGTGGCACGGCGACTACCTTGAATTTGGCTAATGGAGAGACGCTTACTTCTGCGCAGCTGTGTCAAGGTCAGAAGAACGGTAAGACCAGGATCTTCTTTGCGCAACTTACTACTAGCGCTGGGAAGACAGTGCAGACTGGTGTCAAGACGGACGACTGTGTAACGAGGACTGCTGGAACCGATCGCAGTATTGTTGGCTTCCTTGGTCGTTCGGGTGATGAGGTCGATCAGTTGGGATTCATCTACTCGAAAGTTTAATGGTGGTAGATGTTGGGCAGATTCACTAACCGGATCAACGCAATATATACGATGTAATTGTGTCATGTGAACACAGCATTTTTGGACTGAAAATACACGAGCGACATGGAGTGAGGTGTCCCGACCTATGTGTTGAAGTTATGGTCGTAGCGACATGTGGAGTATTCTCCTGACCGACATGGCGTTTGCATTGAGCTATTCTGGTATCATACATAATCATAAAGAAATCCGTCTCGTCCCCAAAGTGATGTGAGTATAAAGAAATAACAAGAAAGAAACCGAACAACAGTCATCCTCCACTTCCGTGCTAGTCAAACGAAACGTAACACCGTCCATCCATGACAATCCTCTCGCAGAACATCAAAAGAGCTCAGCTCCTTAACCTACCCCATCCTAGAGATGTGAAACTCTAAGTGTAGACCCAGTACTGTGCTTCGTAATCCACAGTAACCACCTGTCCAGGCGCCATACCAGCACATGTGGCGGGAGCCATTCCGCCGACGGTGTTGAGACGGTACACCATCTTGACATCGCTGCTCGAGGTACCTTGTGCTTCGAGCCTCAACCACTTTACATCCTTGGTCGCATCAGGCGCAGGTGCATCATCGATCTTCTTAGCCACCGTGTTACCGAGGCCGAAGATGTCGAAATCAGGTGTAGTGTTGTCAAGGAAAAAGTGTGCACCGATAGACGCGGTCTCTTCGATGGAGCCTAGAGAGGCGGTACTGGCAGTGGGGTTGGAAGAGAGTTCGCAGGAGGCGTTGAACAGTTGGGCTACGGCACCGATCGAGGAGGGAACGGCTGTGGCGTTGCTGCAGGTGTAGTTTTGTGTACCATGGCCAAGAGCGATGAGGACAAGGGACATGTCGGCTGTTGGTGGTGGAAGGCCGGAGGCCGGTTGTTCGACGCCACTGAGATCGCAGATGGGGGCAGTGGATTCCGCGGGCTCTACAGGAGTAGTTGTGTCGGCGGTACCATTGTCACAGTTCTGACGAGGATAGAATGGTGGGCGACGGGAAGGTGCTGTCATAGCAAGTGGAATGAGCGCGAAGACTGTGATGAAGATTGAAGTGCGCATGTTGATGGCGTGTTGATGCCGAATGCTTTTGGTAACTGAAAGACTTTTGTGTATCCTGGACTTGTGGATAAGAAAGAAGGCGTTGAGTGTTAAGATTAGTGTAAACAAGAACGAATGTAGAGCTACCAGAGCCCGAAGAAACGAATGGAGAATGAGAAAAGAAGGTCTTTTGGTATTAGCCGAATGATTTTGCTTGCTATACTTCGAGTAGGATAAAGAAGTCTCGACCTATATATACTGTCTTTGGCTGTCTTTCCTCGGACCTACTCTGGTAGCTTCTACATGGATTTAGATTACGAACGTGGGTGACCAGGTGTTGCAACGTTTGAGGTGCTGTTTAGGTCGATGTTGGTGTTTCGACAGGATCCGAATACGTAGGGTCATGGATGGACGGTTGCAGTTGCCGTGCTATGAGGCGGGAGGGAGGTCTCGCGTAAGGACATGTGTCGCGAGTCAGAATGATTGACGGACAGTTGAAACGAGCAACCCAGCCTTGCGGTAAAAGAGCGGTTGCAACGTTCGCACAGACGGGCAACCCGTGGGTCCATCGGTGCTGGCCAAGCTGCTAAAACACTTTGTAAGATCTGGTAACTCAATCAACGATAGACGAGTTGCAGAAGATAGTGACATGCTGCGAGATCCGTCTTACGAGTGTCGGATTACGTGACTCGATCCTCCGTTGTTGAGCCTCAGGCGATAGAAACGCTAGCTTTGTTGGAACGCGCGCCTGAAAAGAGCCGCAATCTCACCCTGATACTGCGGCGTAGCTACAGGGAAATCCGATCAAGGGAAGGTAGATAATGATGCTGAAACAGTACCTGGGTACCTGCAGGACCTGCCACAAAGCCTGAAACGCGGGAAGAAGCTGACGGGCCGAAGTGGGTAAGAAACATACAGTTCGTCTGCGATCACACTGAAACAGTCACGACCGTCGCCTAACTATGCCTCAGTCATCAAGTAGGACTATGATGCTTTTTTCGGGTGTTGGTATTCACTTGTGCCGCTCGCTGCCTGCAGGCAGGATGTCATCGCCCGTTTCCCCAGACATCGAACGTAAGAGAAACCCCAGACCGGTGTATGAGTGAGGAGTTGTCCCGCATTAGTGCAAGGTCATCACGATGTCAACCTGCATATCCAGGTTCGAGACCGTGAGATGGCCTCTCCTTAGGTTTCCAAGGTTAGTGGGCACTTGTGGCAAAATGCGGAGTGGTACGAAAGACATTGGTCCGTGTCGTACATGACGATTGTGGCAGACCTCGAAAGAGCGGTAAAATGCAATGTGGGATCTATTGGCGTTGCTGGCGATTCGGAGAATCGCGTCGTAATGGTCCGAATTAAAATACGACGGGCGTAATCGTCGGCCCTGAGTTCGTCGCGATCGGATCGAGCTAGCGCCTTGCTCTTTCCATAGCTCCGCCTCAGCCTACACGTGTGTGCACTACGCAACGCCTTCATGTAGTTACTGTTTAGAAATACGCTGCCTCAGTTCAATAGGCATAGTATTCTGATCATCCCAGAGGCTATCATGGAGCGAAGAGTCAGCCTGAAGGATCTTATCCGGAACGCTGGCGTCATACCCGTCGACCAGCGCCAAGCAGTTCTCCCGGCCCCAACACAGCCGGCGGTCTCAGTCAGTGAGGAGGACATCTCCCAGGCCCGAAGTATTCTACTGGATCGGAGAGCCAAAAATCCAGAAAGCAAGAATGTGCTGAAAAGCATCTTCAAGAGCTCGAAAGAGAAGGATAAAGGACAAGATGCAGGGCAGTTCTCGCAAGAGGAGCTTGACCAAGCTTTATCCGCCGTCATTCGCAGTCCAACGACAGGCCCCGGCTTGATTCAAGCTTTCCTCACTCTGGGCGCAAAGGTCAATGTCATTGAGTCAATTGACAAGAAGAGAAGATCAAGCAACCAGGCCAATACAGCATTGCGGCGCCGTAGTACGGTCTTACAGCAGGCTGCAAGCCTGAGGAAAGCCGATGGTGTCAACATCCTCGCTAGCTCCGGTGCGGACCAACAAACTCTGGATGAAGGACTGAAAGCCGCTCTCACGGCCAACGATCAAGAAAGTGTGGGTCTACTATTACGCCATGGAGCGGACCTGAACAACTTCCCCAATGCTCTAGCGAATGCAGTGCGATCCAACGACCTGAACTTCGTCAAGCTCTTGTTGCGAGCACCGAAGCCACTTCGTCCTCAGATAATCTCGTCATGCTTGCCTGCTGCGGTCCAGCAAGGCTCAGATGCCACCATATCGCTACTGGTTGCGTATGGCGCTGATCCGAATTTCGACTCAGCAAGCGCTCTGAACATGGCCATCGGGAGACAAGCCTACAAGATAGCTATCGCTCTGGTTGCTGGGCCGATACCTCTCAACGGACCAAATCTGCAGCATGCGCTGGACACGACCGTGAGGTTGCCAACACGTCAGGCAACGCTACAGTTCCTGCAACTCTTGTTCTGCTGTGGACTGCCCCCCGATAGTCGTGGTCTGCCAGACTTTCTTATCTGTTTGGCGAGAGGCAACGACTCTGCTGGTGCGAAGATGATGGTCAGTTATGGCGTACCGACGACAATCAATGGCGCTGAGTGTTTAAGAGAGGCTATAGAGAACTCAAACTGGAGCCTGGTAGATGTCATCCTCCAGACTAACATCGCTCCCCAGCATGCAACAGCAGCACTGTCTGTATTGCCAACCAACGCCCCACAGCCAGATAGACTTCGTGTAGTCGATGCCTTGCTAAAGAGAGGCGCAACAGGTCCTCCTCTCGGCCCCTTACTTACACAGGCCACCAAGGAGAGAGATACTCAGTTGATAGATCTACTTCTCAGTGCAGGAGCGCCAGTCGATTCGAGCGGCAACAGTGCCCTTCACTTTGCAGTGGTCAACAGAGACATTCGAAGCCTTCGGTCCCTTCTCAATGCTCGTCCTCCACCTGAAACCTTGGCGAGTCTGTTTCCGCTTCTCTTCCACACTGATGAAATCCCGATATCTGAGCGACGAGAAATTGCACGACTACTGCTCGAGTACGGTGCACGTGGCCCCGGCGTTGATCAGGCTTTAGTCGATGCTATCGCAGATACTTCGGCCGGGCGGGATGGAGCTCTGATAACAGACCTTGTTCGAAGAGGAGCAAACGTTGACAATAGGGCTTTGTCGTTAGCAGCCGTGCAAGTCGACATGTCTCTGCTGCGTTTGCTTTGCAATGCCAGACCTGATTCTTCTTCCACTTCGGCAGTCCTACCTCTAGCTTTCGACTCGCAGTCTGGCCGACATTTAAAGACACTCGAGATTATCGACTTACTCCTTAGTCACGGAATTGAGGAGGAGCCAGCAAGTCAAGCTTTGCAAATTGCCATCAATAGCGGCCCTGACAACATCGACATCATCGAGCGGCTCCTTACTGCGAGCCCTAGACTGCTGAGCACAGCTTTCAAGTACACTACGGCACTTCAGGATCCGCAGAAGAAAGCACCGATACTCAGTGCTCTTCTGAAATTGGGAGTACCACAAGACTCACTGGATCAGGCTCTTGCAGTGGAGACGCGACAGGCCATTACGACAAACGACACTACCAGTACTAAGTTGCTGTTGGGACAAGGAGCATCTGTGAGTCATAACGATGGCGAGGCGTTGAGTGTTGCGGTAGCTTCAGGAAACAGCTCGCTAATGGCATTATTACTCAGTGGACATCACCAACCATCACGATCTAGTGTCACGAGATCATTCCGTACGTTGTTCACCGACGATAAGTTATCACTAGATGGAAACAAGGAGAATATTGGTGAGATGGCACAAGAATTACTGGTTCGTGGAGTTGAACAATATGCTATCGACTCTGCTCTGCGATCGGTCCTTAGCAACAGTTACGATAGTAAGTATACGGAGGCATGGGTAGATTTGCTACTCCAAAACGTCGCCGATGTCAACACATCGGATGGGGCATGCTTCATCTTTGCAGCACAAAAGCACAGCCACATCATCTTTGAGAAGCTTATGCGTCACAACCCCAATTTCAACATCGTCGTTCCAGCCTTGTTGAGTTCCAAGCTTCAAGACGAGGTAGTCGTTGCCGCAATACAATCATGCTCCGATCACGGCTGCACACTTGAAGATCTCGGTGTCGGGTATAACAAGCCACCGGTTCTCATCACCGCCATGACTGTGTACCCGCGCAATAGTGGACTCATCACGCTATTGTTGACAAACGGCTTAGACCCGGAGATTACCATCCCCATGGTTCTCCATTCGTCCAGCGGACCGGAATCTGTCTCCGCACTCTTGTGGGCACTAGCACAACCACAGAAGCGCGTTTCGGACGCCATTATCTCCGCGCTTCTGGAAGCTGGAGCATCCGTTACCCGAGTTTCCCCTATCTCGGAGACTACGGCGTTGATGCTCGCCGCTCGCGAGGGACGTCATGAGGTAGTGAATGCACTAGTCGTGCGGGGTTCGGATGCGGATCTTCGGGATGCCTGGAACAAATCCGCACTGTTCTACGCTAGTAGTAGTTTGTCTGGGGAAGCCACAGTGAAAGTACTAGCGCCATGTGTGCTAGGAAATGATGGAAGCTTACACGAGGCGGCCAGAGAACTTGACGTCGAAGTCGTGAGAGTGCTATTGGAGCATGCACATGACCCAAACTACCCGTCCCGTCTTCACGGCGGCAGGAACGCCCTTGGGGAACTATGCCTCAAATCAACAGTCTCCACATCCGCACATCGCTCAAAGCTTCGCCAGCTGCTGCGTCTTCTGCTACTCAACCGCGTGAACCCCAAGTTCAGGGCCCGCAACGAAAAGTCTGCTGTCATCCTCGCGCTCGACAATGCCTACAGCGCCCTCCCCATCACCGAAGCTTTGTTAGAGACAGAAATATGGCAAGATCTCAACGACGAAGCACACATCTACTGCGACCCAGCTTCAGGTCTCCACTACTCTCCGTACTCTTACGTTGACCTGGTAGCCACACCTGCTCGCGCTCCCGTTAAACAAGCCCTCCTCGACCTTCTGCGCGACAAAGCTTGTCTTCCAGTCTACTACTCCTCATCGGCACTTCAACCCGTCGGCGCCACCGGCATCCCACCTCCCATAGCCAAGCTCGTCGATAAGCAAAAGGAACACGAACTCAGCATACGCCACGAGAAGGAAAAGTTTGAGCACAGCCGCACGATCGAAGAGACCAGCCACAAGGACATTTTAAGAAGAAAGCGTGAGAGTCAAGATGTGGAGTTGGTATTGCAGACAAAAGCGACACAGCACTACACTGCTTTGGAGCAGCAAAAGCACGAATTTGAAGTCCAGCGGGTGAGAGAGGCGGAGCGTATGAAGCGTTCTGAAAGGGTGGCGTGGCATAATCTGTTACAAGAGCAAGAGCGCGATGCTGCTGCTGCGAGGCAAAGTGTAGAGGAGAGAAAAGTCAGGGAGGCCATGGCGGCAGAGAGTAAGATGATTGAGCAGCGAAAACAGGAGTTGGAGCATAGAGCTAATGTGGAGAGGAGGATGCTGAAAGAGAAGGAAGAACACTACGAGAGGAATGTTAAGCGGCAGAAGGAGGTGAGGCAAATTGAAGGAGGGCCGCCGCAGTGGGGAACGGTTGATTAGTAGTGCCTGTAGAGGAATTTGTGATGAAGAAGCACATGAGAGGAATTGGATAAAGTTGATAATGTCATAACGTGTCTCCGTACTCTGCAAATGCTATGGAAACGAAACAAAAAAACAACAACAACAGCGATGCAACGAATGCAGACCCATGGGTATCGTCGCGATAATAGACCAAACCAAATCAAACCGAACTCAAACTCAAACTCAACCCCAAAACACCGACGCTCGAAGACGTGATGGAAGCCAAAACAAACGCCAATACTCAAGAAGGAACTCGTGGTGCTCTCGGTTCATCGCTAAAGTAGGCGCAATGCCTACACCGTGTCATGTGGAATCATGAATACAGTTGTGTCCTCTCCTTCCGTCCTTCTTTTTTTCCTTCCTTCGTAATGGTTTATATCGGTGCCGCTACGAATGATAGGTCATCGTAGTCCTCGTCGTCGAGATCAAGCATGGACATTTGCATGAAGTCCTCTTCAGCCTGCTCCAATGCCACCTTATGACTGTGGGCAAGCTGCTCCCAACCCAGGCTGATCCCTGTGAGTTCTATAGCCGACATCTTAGGTCGGCTAGGGCCCTGCATGTTCGGAATATGATACGTCAGGTTTTCCTGTTCAAGAGCAGGGCTCGATGTTTCTGAAGGTGTGTCGACGGACTCAGAGTCGTCATCGGTGAGGCAAGCGCGCCCATAGAATGCTCGCTCAAAAATAGCGTTCGACTTGGCCATTGACTCTTTATGCATGGCAGAGGATCGATCCATCTCCATCTTGGCGAACAGCTCCATTAGGTTCAACCCGAACGCGAGACTGTTTTCGCGCTTGCGTAGCCAATGATTTTCGTTGACCAGAGCGTCGAACATTGTCTTAGCCCTCCCTGGGACATTTAGTGGGTCCTCTGCTTCCCGAGGTTGTTCAACTGGAGCAGTCGTGTTATCCATAGTGAGTTCAACATCGTGGCGCGCGAACTCGTCGGCATTAGCCAGACGCTCCCTGAGAGCCTCTATCTCCAACACCTGCGTTCGGTCCAGAGCCTGAAGCTCCATGATCTTATCATGACGCCTTGCGAGCTCTTCCTGCAGAGCCTCAAGGCCTTCGGTCTTGCTGGTAGCATCCTTTATCTTGGCCAACAAATGTTCAATCTCGAGTTCTTTCGTAGCGATGACTTGTTCGCGCTCGTGGATTTTCAGAACCGTGGCGCGATGCTCCGCGGTAAGAGTCTGTAGTTGGCGGACAGCCTCATCGTCTTTCTTTCTTGCTGCGTCAACCTCCTTGGCCTTCTGAGCCCATGGTGTAGGCCCGTGCTCGATCTCTGTTGTGTTCGCCAGTAGACCAGCACGGTCAGACCAATCATGGAGATGGAAAGTAAGGCCATTTAGTCCGGCAGTATAGAAAGCAACGCACTGGTCGTTATCGAGATCATCGATCTTGTATTTGATGTCGGCGATCTCGCGAGCAGAGACCGAGTCGGTATCCGAGAGACTGGTGCACTTCGCAACCTCTTCAATCAGGCTGCGGACAAATTTGGCGATACCTCCAGCAGCCGATGCCAACGCTTCGTCGTATTTGACAGCTTCGTCGAGACCATTAGGGAACTGAGGGTACATATGGTCGTGGGCAAGAGCCTGTACAGTCCGTAGCAACTTGGCGGCAGCCGTAAGCGCAGCCTGTGTGTTGTCCAACGGGGTGTTGAAATGTTCCAACGTGTATTCACATTCGTGGAGGATGCTCTCGGGAACCTTCTGCAAGACGAAGGTCGCGAGGTCATACATGTATGCAATGTGATCAAGGCGAGCATGCATGGAGGTAAACAGGGATAGCATCTCGCCTTCCGGCCGACCAGCTAGGATCTCCTGGTGGCTGGATAGAATTGCCTCAAGGGTTTTGGTAGACCGCTCCAGAGATCCAGTAAATTCCTCAAAATTGATGGTATCTGCCTTCAAAGCATTTAGACCTTGATCAAGGACCTGCTCTATAGTGATCAATTCCTGGTAGGTCGGTCCAATGTTTGCAAAGTCGGCAAGAGATAGGCCGCGAATTGCGGACCAAAGACGGTTACTGCCATCTTTAAGAACCTCTAAATGAACGATGGACTGGGCACAAATGAGCCTAGACACAGCATCGTCCAACCGGCCGCCGTTGCTCATGTGTCGACTGGTGCTCCTCAGCACACTAATAAGCAGGTCGGATTTCCCAGCAATCCTCTCTGTAGCAAGATAGGCTTGGAGAGATTCGCTCCGAGTAAACTCCTTGGACTCTGTCTCGTTCCAGATTTCAAGGCGTTCAGCAAGCTGGTCTGCCTTTAGCGATATGAGCGACGCCTCAATCTCTCTTGTGGTAGATAGAACAGTGGCTGCGCGGAGTTGTCGGTTTAGATCCATGACTTCGTTGAAACGCCCCGTGGTATCTTTGACCTGGGCTTCCGTCATACTCTTCGAAGACTCGGCATCGGCCATTCTGGCTTGGAGATCCATGACGAGGTCTCGGAATTTGGAGATCAAGGATTCATGATCGGCAATAATAGCGGTTTGTTCTGAGATTTGTCGTGCTTGCTCTGCGAGCTCGTTGTTCTTAGCATCCAGCTCCGCAAGCATATCCTCTTCTTGCTCAAGATGTTGAGCCTCAAGCTCGTCATTGAGCTCCCGTAAGTTCTCAAGGTCCTGTACCACCATATCCTGCTCCGCGATTCTATCCTGGAGGTTTTGATTTTGTTGTGTGAGTTCCTCGACCATGTCCTCCCATTCGTTCGCAGCGTCCAGCTGTTGCTTGAGATGGTCAACCAGGCTCTCGGATGCGTTCAAGCGTTCATGGAGAGTGCCGTTTTCTTGCTCGTAGTATTCAAGCTGTGAAAGATCGCCCTCGAGACCGACGATCCTTGCCTTGTAATCTTGTTCCCGCTCCTCTGTCATCTCCTTGAGAGTTATCAATGCCTCCCTCAGGCGGTCGTTCTCGTGTTGCAGGCGGTAGTATCCAGCCTCTTGCTTTTGCTCCTCCGACATTTCTGTCGTGAAAAGCTCTGCCTCATCCCGAAGAATGTCGAGCTCCAAGGTCTGTTCCTCTAGCCGTTTGCGTAACGACTCAATCTCCGCTTCCGCCTGGTCAGCCCTCTCCTCGGCCATTTCCTTATCGACTAATGCATCCTCTAGGTCCACCTCGTGGTCCTGTATTGACTTGTTGAGGGCTTCTAGATCCAACTGAAGGGTCTTGAGCTTCTCCTTGTGTTCTTGAATCTCGGTATACTGAGATTGGCATTTGGCTTGTAGGCGTTGAATCAGGCCGCTGAACCTCTCTTTCTCGTCGCGAACCTGTGCGTATTCTCTCAACCGTTCTTGGTCTTCCGCATGTTGCTTCTCCAAGTGTCTGATCGTTGTCTGTAAGGTCTCGACGTGGCCATCTCGCGATGCTTTTCCAGCATTGCTAGTGACTGATGATGCCAGGCTCGGTCTGGAAGTCGATGGTGTGGGACGCGAGGGTTCGGGTCGAGAGGGTTCTGGGCGAGAGGATTCGGGTCGAGAAAATTGTGTGCGGGAGGATTCGGCGGCTGAATTGCTAGATATGCTAGCAACGCTGGCTTTTCGAATAGGTCCACGTGAAGGTGGTTGTGATGACGAAGGAGCTGCGACTGACTGTCGCTTGCTCAATGTGGTAGTCCTTGCAGTAGCGGGTTTGGGGGCGACTACACTGGAAGGTCGAGCTCTAGGCGTGGTGGGTGGTGCCCTCGCTCTTGAAGCCGCTCGTGGTGTAGGTGTGGGTGGGGTGGGTACTGCCTCGGAGATTATAGTTGCTATACTTGTGTCTCGAATGAAGAGACCGTGGCCAGGCGGACAGGTAAAGTACCGCTCTCCGCGTACGGAGCCATCGTTCTTGCCAGTGGGGGTAGAAAGCTCTATTCCCACGAAGATGCCTTCTGATACGTGGATAGTTCCAACGTATCTGACCACACCCTCCTGATGCCCAGTGGTCTCAACCGTCTGGCCGACTTTGATGTTGAGAGTCGTCATGCCTCCTGAATGCTAGCCAGGAGCAATGCTGAAAGCTTTGTGTGAAGAAGGTGAGCACAGCGTAGTGTTTGAGAGCTGTGTGGTGATATGAAGCAGGCTCGACGCGTCGAGGAGCTGCTGTGAGTGGGGAGTGCAGTTGCGGACAATTGACTCAGAAAAGGTTTGGCAAGTGCAAAGCAGAAGAAGCAGATATGTGATGATGCAGAAGTAACGGCTCAAAAGTGGTGCTGTTGTGGAAAGTGGCATTGAGCAGTTGCAGAAAGCGTGGTGTAGAGAAGAGAGGGAGGAGCGATGTGGCAGCACTCAGGTGAGCTCTGGACAATTCGCGCTATACGTCTCTTGGCGCGGTGATGGCTCGCGCCAAGGGTGGCGATGGCTCGGACGAACGCCAGTTTGCGGCTGCGGCGGACACTCCCGGCGCCAGCGCGTCTTAGCGCGGCTCTCACCCAAGCTTTACGCGTTTTCTGACGTACAATCAGCCCACTCTGCATATGCCAGTTCCAATGCGCTTTGAGTGATATGTGTCTGCAATGTGTCCCTACTTTAACGCAGCCAAGAGTCACCGCGCATTCACCCCACCTGCCACATCTGTCAGTCGCGCCGTACCGAGTCTAGCGGCTCTTCGCACGCCTGCAGGAAGTATCATATAACCTTTTAGAGCGACAGAATTAATAGTCGCAAGCAACGATACAAATTCACTGCGCACTTGGAGGTTTTCTGTGATGGTTGTCGCCCAATGGACCTTTACACGTGCATCGTTCTACCAACCTGCCGCTGTTTCACTGGAAACAGAATCGTCTCGATCACGCATCTCGTTGCAATGATGTGCTCACCGCCGATCAAATCATGTTTTCTCGGACATGGTAAAATGAATTCATCGGTTTTGGCGATTGATAAGTAGAGAGCAACTGGGTTTCACCTATTCTTTGCCTATATATTCTGACCAAATAACATCGCTTTGATGAACCAAAAAATCATAGTCAAATGTATATGTTCACTACGTTGCTGCAAATTGTGCGTTCCCAATACAAAGAGATGATATCTTGTTGCAGTCCTTCATTTCATACACTTTCATCCAATACACGGTACACACGCATGCAAAGCTCCGCAGGTCCGATAAACCCGCACTTGAAGATCCACTCGGCCACACTTTCATCATCCCTCACCGCGAAGCTTCTAACTCCTTGATTCTTTGTTCAATATCAGGAATAGCTCTGAGCTGCAGGTCAATATCTTCCTTCTCACTGTTACAATGTTAGCACATATTTCCACCTATCCCAACAGTATCACCGACACCCAGAGGGAAACAAACTTACTCTTCAAGTACCGCCCTTCTCTCCGCATCTAGGCCTCCAAAATAAAAGCCGCCTTGTCCATCGAATTGCAATATTCTGGTATGATACCTCCAGAGACTTCTCCGGTGACTGACCGTCATGAGAGTTATACCCAGTCTCTTCGCTTCTTCATACATCACCCTTTCTACTTCCAGTGTAACGGAGCTTGTGCATTCGTCCAAGATGGCGTACCGAGGCTTGTGGTAGAAGAGCCGCGCCATAGCGACGCGTTGTTGAAGACCACCTGAAAGCACGTCTTCCCATTGTGCCTCAGCGTCGAAGCCACCCGGGCGGTCGATAAGGGATTCAAGGTTCAAAGTCTCGAGGATGGAAAGGATATCATTATCGGTGATAGATTTGGAGTGCATATCATGTAGCGAGTCCGGATATATGATCTGTTGGCGCAGCGTACCACGCGAGAGGTATGGTCGTTGCGGTATATAGAATATGTCTTCGAATGGTGGTTTTCGTACCTTGCCGCCATATACTGGCCAGAGACCACCTAGGATACGGAATAGGCTACTCTTTCCACATCCGTTTGGTCCTACGATTAGTAGATGATCTCCGGGCTTTACGCTGAAGGAAAGTGCCCGGACGAGCACATCACCATTCGGAGATACTATAGGTACGTCGATGAACTCGATATCAGTGCCTTCGGTAACAGTACCACGACCGCGTAGAACGGATGCGTTTTCCTCGGTGTCGGCTGAAGAAACGAGCTTCTTTTCGAAATGACCGGCTTGGATATCGTCGATTACGTCGAGGAGGGTCGATACGCGTGAGGTATAACCAGCGAGTTCGGTAATCTCCTTGTACGAGAACATGACCCGACCAAAGGCGTCGCTAGACATTAGGAGCATTCGACGGTTGGTTACGAAGCCTATTGCAGTCACAGTTGTCAGTAAGAAGTTCTCTCAAGCTGGACAAGAGATGATGCGGTTTGGGGATTCTCACTCTCCGTCCGGTCCCCCATAGTCATGCCGCCCGTTCCCGGGACTTTGAAGAAGACTGGCACACTACAGAGCAACAAACCCAGCGCACCCCAGAAGTATTTTATCACAAAATCTTCCATGACTCCATGATAGAATCTCCTCCTCAGTATCCGATTGACATGCTTGATCAGCGTAAAGTAACCCTTATCCAAGGTATCCTTCTCCGCCTCATGTCCCGCATATAGCGCTACTTCTTCACTCCAGTCAATCAGCCTGGAATGCTGAAACCTAAACTCGCCCTCTAACCTCGCTTCGTCTGCTACGTATTTACCAAACGGCGGGGTCAGTGCCCTCATGACATTGGCCGAGATCTGGACCAGAAGGGACATGAAGAACAGCCCCTCGCCACCAACGCTACGTGACAACGAGTAGTTGTAGATTATTATGTCTAGAACGGGTTTGGCGAGATTGGAATAGAGTTCTGCGAGCGAGTTGGAGAACTTGGATACGTCGACGGTTATGAGTTGGTCGGCATTTGCAATGCGATCGTCGAGGGCAGAAAGCGTGTAGAAGGTCATTTGGGAGAGGTACTTCGAGTGGATATGATTCGTGAGGCGTGTTCGGTATTGGAGGGAGAGCTTGCACTGGTGGTAGGAGAGCTAAGCTTGTTAGCATGTCTGCGGCTTCCTACTGGCAACTGCTGCTTCCCCGGCTCATGCTCTGGCTGTAGGAAACGAAGTTTGACATACCATACTATTCGTGAAGGTCGCTGGAATAGCCACAGCCATCCACCATACCAGACCCAAGAGGAACTCCCTTCCCTTTCCCCTCACAAGCGCACTAACCAATCTCCCGTCCAGCTCCGCAACATACAAGCTGATCATCGTCCTCAACACCAAGAACACACTATGTCCAATTAGGAGCCGAAACTCCTTGCTCCTCCACCCGGGTATACATATCTTCAGTAGTCTGAGCAGGTTCTTGAAGAATTCCCTGTTCAGCTCGACCTTCTTCCTGCCTGTTGCTTCACCTTCGCCTGCTGTTGTCTTGTCCGCCAACTTGGAAGCGCGCCGTAACGACGCAGCTTTTTGCTCGGCAATGGCATTCCGTATGCGGTTTATGAGTGCGACGAAGAGGGTGAGGTAGACAGCGCGCGATATGCGTGTTCGGTGCTGGAGATACAGACGTGTAAGGTCGTTGACTATGGCTTTGGCAGACGCGCTAGTGAGGCGGTGGGAAGAGAGGGGTTTTGAAAAGACAGCCATGGCTACCGTAGACGAGGCATTGGTGTTATGGTAGAGGTCGTCGCCGTGCGCAAAGCGTCGTGGCGTGGTGGTTCGTGCCGGACGATCCTAGTACGTGATATTGTGGGACTCGTAGTACAGCTGTCCAACGGACGACTTGTGCCGACTCGCGACAGATTATCAGGATGCAATGAGCCGTGCGCGTCCGGTTGTGAGGTTTGGTAAGATCAGTGTATCGCGGAAGGTGATGCTGTGCAAGCATCACCTGCGACATGTGAACGAATGCCTCGGCTTCCCCACAAACCGTCTAACCACATTGAGCCGTAACCTGGGGAAAGCTTTCACATGAACGAAGAGCGTGTACATTGGATTTATATACTATACTAAAGTTGCAGCTATTCGCATGTGCTTGAACATTTTTTTTGATGTCCTTGCAACGCCTGTTTCTATTATAGAATTATCGCAAGAGCGTCTTGAAACAGTCCCCTCTACAGTCCCCATAGCTAATGTACAGAATCTTGACCGAAACTCTTTCCAGAACCACATTAGTCTCAGATCACGACTGAGTATCTTTGAAATCACCAGTATGTGTCTTCGCCGCCTTTTCTGCCCCATACCCTGGTGCCACTTTGCCCGGCAGACCCTTGACAAACCCACCAATGTCTAAGCCCTGCATTTTCTGCTGCGTAACCTGCATCCAACTCTGCTCTTGCTTCTTTTGCACAGCCTGCTCCAACTCCTCTTTTTCCTTCTCTTCGTTACCTTCTCCTTTGCTTCCTTCGTTCTTCTTCCGCTCATCCTCTTCCTGTTTCTTCTCCTTCGCTAGATCAGCCTCAGCGCGCTCCACCTCCTCGATATCAACGTCTTCGAAGCCAATCTTGCGGAGAATGGAGCCCGTGATGAAGCGGTATTGGAGATGACCGTCCACAATGTCGCTGACATCGACGTTCTGTATTCCGTGCACGCCAACAACGGGTTGCAGGCCTGCGACGCCGAGCTGCATGGATGAGGTGCGGTAGAGGAAGCCGAGGATGTAGTCTGATTTGGAGAAAACGTTGACGCAGCGACCGCTCACTACAGAGCGCATGCGTCGCCAGTCGGCAGCATCAGAGGGGCATGGGGCGCCAACAAGGACCACGTTTTCGATGAGGCCAAAAGCTTTACGCTGAGCGAGTGTCTGAAGGCAGGAATAGATGACGCGTGCACCGAGAGAATAGCCCACAAGGGTGACCGGCCGTTCACCTTGAACCTTGTTGATCAGTGCTTCAGCGAGAACCTCACCAGCCTTCTCGGAACGATACTTGGCAACCGAAAATGGGTTGTCGAGCATAGTGGCAATCTTGAGCAAGCCTAGCGGCCACAGTGCAGCCGTCATCGCAGCAAAGACAGTCTGCTCAATGATCTTCTTCTTTGCATAACCCCAAGCAGCACTAGTCATAAATGTCTCGAGACTGTGTCCAAGCTTAAGAAGCGCCTCAAGCTCCCAACGAAGTGCAAAACCTTCTGTTCCCTTGCTGATGTATCTCCATGGCTTTGATACCTCCTCAGGGCTGCGCAGCCAACCAGAGATAGCAATCGCGACGCGGAGACGGCGAGACTCGTTGTCTTGGTGCCGCGGGTCTTGGGTACGATGAATTGGGATGAAGGCAAAGTCTTCGACCTGTCGAGCGTAATCATCCATAGCGCGCCCCGTCATCTTCGCACCGTAAGCGCCAAACAGCCCACCTACAAGGACAGAAGAACCAGCCAGAGTACCTAGATACCCCGCGGCTGCTGTAGCACCTAGACCAATGCCTCCCATCACACTTCCAACACCCGCCGCAAGAAGTGGTGCAGCGAGACCACCAGTGACACCAATGAGCGCGGCACCAGCAACGCCAGCGAGGCCAACCTTCCATTTTCGAGCGGCTTGTGATTTCTCGGCAGCTTGCTTGGTCTCTTCGTCAGCATTTAGTTGTTGAGATGCTGCCTCTAGAAGACCTTGGGCGACAGTCTCCTCATCTTTCTTCAGGACGGCTCTACTCAGCCCGAGAGAACTTGTGAGATAGAGAATCAGGACGCGAGAATGTGCTGAGTAGTGCTCCAGACTGAGCAGTATAAGCACGAGCGAGTGTAGTATAAGGGCTCGCTTGCTTTCTTCCAGCTGAGTGAGGGCGTTGGAAACGGGCGGATAGAGGTCCTTGAACATCTTGTCCTCGTCCTCGTCCTTCCCGTCAAGCTTCTTGATGCTCTTGAGGCCAGTCTCGGACTTCTTCGCGATTTGTTCAACCTTATCGCCTTCGACCTGACGTGTCTGCTCCTTGGCCTTTTCTTTCGAATTGACCACCTCCCCAATTCTGCTGATGACGTTGCCTCGCCACCCATCGAAGTACTTCAACATTTCCTTCTTCAACTCTTGCACTTCAGGTTGCGCGAGCTCTTTTCTTGCATCTTCTTCGCGTGCTTCCCTCTCTTTCTTTATCTTGTCTTCCTTGGCAACGTCGACATCGTCGAGGTTGGAGGGTGCGTCTTGTAGTACTTCTTCTTCCGATTTGGCAGTCTCTGAATCGATTGGAAATTCTTCAGCAGTGAAGGTGTCGACCAAGGACTGTCGCATAGATGCCGTGATAGTGGCTATCAAGAAAGTCAAATCCGCGCATTGGTCTGCATCGAGAAGTGTAGTGAGTGACGTCTCGTCCTTGTCCTCCGACTTGGAATGACCCAAGGACGTCAACTTGGAGGCCCAACCAGACATGATAGTAGGTCGAAGAAGGCTTTGAAGTTGGCGTAGTGATTGCGCAGCGGAGAGATCTACTTCGCAGGGTAAGATGTTGCTGTTTGAGTATGACGTACGTGGGGCAAGGGCTACGAATAGTCCATTGTCATACTAACGTCGAAGACCCAGGCGCACTGCCAAGCAGTGTGAACTGGCGTTCTTGAGTTCTTCGACTATTCAATATTATTTCATGTAGCTTCATAGGACATGACAAGGCTTCATCTTACGACAAGAACTCGGCACCCATGCGCAGTAGTGTTTTGATCTTATTATGCACTCGCGCAAAACTCGATTGGTTTTATTTCTCCGATCCAATTATCACCTCACGAACCAACTCTGCTAGTAGGTATTGGCGGTGCACCCCTTCCTCCCACTGGGAAGTTCCTTGCACTCAAAAAGACACCTTTAACAGCCCGGATGTCGTTCTTCAGCACCTCCATCTGATCATTCTGCCCGTTGCCACCTTGACCAGACCAATTAAAGGTAGACCCGTATCGGCCCATGCTAGGGTAGTATTGGTTCTGGTAGTCCATCTCGGTCAGATATGTCGTCAAATCAGACACCTTCGTCCTCAGTGCATCCCGCGATTTGCCGTCGTTTGCGCGATTCGTTTCGAGCTCTTCGAGATGTGATTTTATGATCTTGAGACGGTTTTGCTGCGCTGTCACGGTGGGGTGGGGGTCTGCAGCGGAGGCGGACGGTCGGCGGGAGAGGTTGGGCGTGGTTTGGGTGCCGTAGTCGCGATGGTAAAGCTCAGTAGGGTCAGAGTCGGCCTCTGAGACGTCATCTGCAACGTCTGTGATTGCCTTGACTTTGCTAGCAGGATCGACCGATACTGCCTTCCCCAGTCTTGAGTTCAACTCCTTCAGCTGTTCTTGGGTATGCGATGCAAAATCGTGCCTCGATTCGGCAAGGCTGTGTGTCATGGGCGCAATGATGTACTTTGAAAGTCCATATATGCTTGCCATCAGGCCTCCTGTCACGTATGCGGTTGTCACGAGGCGCTGGGTGGTTATGAGCGGTGGTGGCTTTTCGGTGTTCGCAAGGAACTCTGGGTAGGTAACGATTGGGGGTATTTCGCGTGGTGGAGGTGGTGGTGTGGCTTCGCATGTCTGAAATGTTGCTTCTTGTACATCTGCGGGCTTTGGCGGCGTCTATGGATGTTAATGTCATTCCTCTGCGATGCTATCGACAGCCTGGGCTCCATGCGCTTCGACCGTGGAGGTTGCAAACTCACCGTTGACCACGCTCGCCCCGCAACTTCCTCGAGCTCTGCATGAGTATCCTCTTGTGGCTCTGTGCCCAGCAGAGCCTCGATGTCCTCAGTGTTTACGCCCTTTGACTGCAAGAATGCGACCTTCTTCTCCCGCGGCGCATCGCGGATTATTTCGTCCTCAAGGAAGCGAGATGCTCGGTCTAGCAGCTCTGAGCCTTGAGATGGTTGCTCTTCCCTGTCGTCTCTTTCAAGGTCGTCTTCAGTTGGTGTTGGCGCTTCGACAGCGTGCTGCGCGTGTGCTTCTTCGGGCTCTGGGGCCGCTGCAGCGTTATCGGCCGAGGCGCGTTGCCATTCAGGTATTGCAGGTTTGCCAGACATGGTATATGAGATGGGGGAGTCGCTTTGAAGAGGATGTCAGCTGTAGTAGACGCGAAATGAATGTCTGCACACTATCGAACGTGATGATGGATTGCTCGGGAAAGATGGCTGGACCGAGGCAAGAGCCCCAGATTCCGCCTTTCCCCTTTAGTCAGACATTCGAGCATCATTACCATGTCCTGCTCCTGGTCTTCACACTTAAGCCTTTATCGATCTTATCGCTCTAAATCTGGCCGTAACACATGGAGCATTATGGTTCACTCTTGAACAATATTCTGTATTCTTGGCTTAAAATTGCGTCTCAGTACTTCCCTCGCCCATACTCTTGCTGCCCGAGCTGCCACTCTGTATCGCTCCCAAAATGCCATCAATGTATCCTGCGCCAGACCATTTCTGGTGCGTAAGCACATCGCATCCCAGTTCCTTTTCTCTTGCCTGCACCAACTTTACATATGCAAGCATGCCTTCATCCTTGAATGCCCTGCTAAGTTCGCATGTGATCGTCGCAGTAGAGTGTACTCCAGCAAGCGAAATGAGCTGGAACACGAAACCGTGTTTCGCCAGATCCCAGACAAAAGACTTTAGTGCTTCTTCCGAGAAGCCCTGGCCCATCCAGTTGAAGCTAGGAGACAGATTGTATACGAACTTCTTGCCAGGGTGCACTGCACGAATCTCACCGGCGAACCTAGCTGCTTCTTGGACGTTCGGGTCACCGGTTTCGACCCAGAGCAGATCTGCGTATGGAGCGTATTCTTTGCCGCGCTTTGTTGCAGCAGCGACACCAGCTTTGTAGTGGTAAAAGCCTTCGCGGGTACGGGGGATGTCCCAGTTGAAGTAAACGGGTGTTTTGGTGTACTTGTCCGCTACTTTTCGTCGCTTCAGAAGAGAGTAGTCAGGGTTCTGCTTGACCTCATTGAGGTATGAGTTGATGGTCGATTGAGATGCACTCTCCTTTTCAAGGTGCTGGACCACAGCCTCGTCGAAGGTTACAAGCTTGTGCTTCTTCACCCACGCTGCCTCGTATTGGTCAATCTCTTTGCCTGGTGCGCCAGCCGCCTCCATGTTCTGCAATGTCTCGGCCAGCGGCTCAGTGTCTTCTGTAACACCCTTGATGAACTCGTGATCTCGCACGTCAACGGCGCTTGAGATCAGCTTGCCACTCTCCGAGTCAGTGCGTGCAATGACAAGGTTCTCGCAACCCATCATGTCCCACTGGAATCTTGCAGCTACCAGGCGGTTGATGTGGTCACCAACTGGTACGAGAACTTTCCCTGCAAGATGTCCGCACTTCTTGCCGCCGTGGAGTTGGTCTTCGAAATGAACACCCGCAGCTCCATTCTCAGCAAAGAGCTTTGCCAACTTGATGACTGCAGAAAGACCTCCGTGGCTGCGACAAGTTAGCTCTCTGGTTGAACTTAAAAGTCGTCTCCACATACCCGGTGTCGCCATCAGCAATAATTGGCCGCATGTAGTCCAGGTAAGGTGTCTTTGCCCGTTCTTCTGAGCTCATCTTCCTCCTGGCATCCCAACTCTTACGGTCATGTAGCTGCTGTGCCTTGAACAGACGCTGCACTTGGTTCGGTACGGTATTGTAAGGGTAGTCGCCAAAGTCGGCCGAGACTTCGTTCGTGGTTGTCAAGACTGAGGAGCAAGCCCATCCGGAGACATAGAGGACTTCTTGGTTCGCAGCTTGTTGGGACATTTGAATGGGGTCAATTGCGCCCACTGGGGGATTGAAAACATATGATCAGCCATTGTACTATCTATGCAGACTAGGATAAACGCACTGGTGTGTACTGGCTCGCCCTTGGCCGCCCTCTCCTCCAGGAGGTTGAACAGCTTCCGCGCCATCAATGAGCTGGGATATGACTGCTGGAGCGCGCCCCGCTTGCTCACGACATCCTCCGCAGAGTATGGGCGCTTGATGCCTTTGTACCGTGGTGACGCCCACCAGTCCTTCACGGCTTGTACCTGCTCCTCGAAGAGCGCATCTTCCGCCTGACCCGCTTTCGAAGCTTCAGGGAGCAGCTGAAAGGAATCGCCAGGGAGTGCTGTCGATACTGGGGGGTCTACATTCTTGAGTGTCGAGCTCGACATGCGACACGCGGTGGTAGAGAGTGGGCGTAAGAGTTGTGGTGTTCGGCTCGCTATTCTCGACGATCGGCTCTGGCGCGCAACTGAGCGCGATACTGCTCGGAACATTTTAGGTGTATGTGTATGGAGAGACTACAGCCAGCAGAATTTCGCTCTGTATCTTGGTAGGATGGCGACGAGAGCTAGTCAGTAGTCATCTACGGAAAAATATCCGCAAGTCGGAGAGAACTCGGGGTTGATGTTTGCCACAAGCGCCTTTGTGTATTTACATCCAATTGTCTCTTTTGCATGCAATTAGCGAAGTCAGCAGCCGTGTTGCGTGAAAAAAGTGAGTTCTGCGTCATGTTTGCGGTAACGCTTCTCCAGGGTTCCCCATCACCGACGTCACTACCGAGGTATGTAGCCCTTGTCTAGCCGTCCAACTACCCCTCGGTTCATCATCCAACGTTGCACTCGCATTAACGGACCATGCGTGCCTGGTGGATTGGAGTGCATTGCCGAAAGTTGCCGTCAACATTTCTTTGCTTGTTAGTCGTGAAGTTTGTAACGCCATCATCGTGAACTACTTGTTGTGTTCTACATTCCATGTGTTGAAGAGTGCAATTACTATTCCCCGCATCTACCCCACGTAAACCCAGCTATGGCTTTGAGTGCACGATCAGCTACCAGAGCTCTTCGGGCTGCCAAGGTAAGCTCCAAAAAATAATGCGACAGCATATGCAAGTCTTGGAGAACTGACAGGAGCTTTACAGGCGCGCCCTTTTGTCTCCGGTATGCAATTGGGTCATCCAATTCACGCGTCATGGTCCTAACGTGTTATTTGTTGCAGTACAAGCATGTAGCTACTCCTCCTCCTCAGAGCCGGACCTCAAGGAAACATTCAAGAAGGTCCTGCCTGCAAAGCGTGAACTCCTGAAGAAGGTCAAGGCACATGCCGACAAGAAGCTCGGTGATGTCAAGGTGGAGAATGCCCTGGGTGGCATGAGGTATGAAACCCAAACGGATATTAGACACGATCTGACAGAACTGAAGAGGCCTCAAGGCCATGGTCTGGGAAGGATCAGTGCTTGATGCGAACGAGGGCATCCGATTCCACGGCAAAACCATCAAGGATTGTCAAAAGGTGCTACCCAAGGGCACTTCTGGCACTGAGATGCTTCCCGAGGCCATGTTCTGGCTGCTTCTCACAGGCGAAGTGCCTTCAGTATCACAGACTCGCGCATTATCGCGAGAACTCGCCGAGAAGGGTAGTATTCCCAAGTTCGTCGAGAAGATGCTAGACGACTTCCCCAAAGACCTTCACCCGATGACACAGTTCGCATGCGCTGTCTCAGCACTAAACTACGAGTCCAAGTTCGCAAAAGCCTACGAAAAGGGTATCAACAAGGCCGACTACTGGGAGCCTACCTTTGATGACTGCATCAGCCTGCTCGCGAAACTGCCTACCATCGCCGCGAAGATTTACCAAAACGCATACCGTGGCGGAGGCGCTCTCCCGAACGAGATCGATCTGAACCAAGATTGGTCATACAACTTTGCTGCCATGCTGGGTAAGCCAGGCAAGGAGAACGAGGGTTTCCAAGACCTTCTCCGCTTGTACCTTGCTCTGCATGGTGACCACGAGGGTGGTAACGTCTCTGCGCACGCAACACACTTGGTCGGATCTGCGCTCAGTGATCCTTTCTTGAGCTACAGTGCTGGTCTCCAGGGTCTCGCAGGACCCTTGCACGGCCTGGCTGCGCAAGAAGTGCTGCGTTTCATCCTCGACATGCAGAAGGTCGTAGGTGAGAAGTTTACCGAGAAGGACGTCAATGAGTACCTCTGGAGTGTACTCAAGTCTGGACGTGTCATTCCTGGTTACGGTCACGCTGTGCTCAGGAAGCCTGACCCGCGATTCGAAGCTCTCATGGACTTCGCAAATGCCCGACCCGAGATCGCAGCAAACCCCGTATACCAGTTGGTCAAGAAGAACTCTGAAGTTGCGCCGGATGTACTCAAGGAGCACGGAAAGGTGAGATGTGGCATGTCCAGCACGTCCAGTCACTGCTAACACATTGTAGACCAAGAACCCCTTCCCCAACGTCGACTCGTCCTCCGGTGTCCTCTTCCACCACTACGGCTTCAAGGAGACTCTCTACTACACTGCGACCTTCGGTGTCAGCCGTGGTCTGGGCCCGCTCGCACAGCTGATCTGGGACAGGGCATTGGGTCTGCCTATCGAGCGTCCCAAGTCCATCAACCTTCAGGGTATACTGGACCAGGTCGGCGCATAAGCGTCGAAGTCGTGGGTCTATGACGAGGGAGTTTGAGAAGCCAATGAGTAGTTTCGTATCAAACAAACTGAATCATCGGGAAAAATAGCAATAAATCTAAACATGCTAGGCAAACAAGTTGACAATGGTTCTGTGAGGCTTCGAAGTTGCGCAATCGGAAGACCCATCTAGGCGGGAGATCTGCGTCTAGTCAGGGACACGACGCCATCGCGGCTCAAGTAAGCCCGATGAAACCTCCATCTCGAACCACGACACTGGCTGTGTTCCCTGTGCTTTCTGTCCTACAGAACCGTTGCTTTCCTCTCCACACATCATCTATTGCTTCTTCGTGACTGCCGACTTCTTGTCTGTGAGATAGCAGACACGCTTCAATGCCAGCCTCAACATAATAGAGCTTCACGCTCGCGCCGTCACAGATAGCCGCGCCGATCGAGCCATATACCACGTCGTCCATACCCACCCCTCTCTCCGCCTTGAAGCAGACTTGCGACCAAACATGGCGCCTTACGAAGCCCACGAAATGCGTCGTGGCAAGTACGCGAGAATCGATGAGCCCGTCGACGATGTCGAAACCCCGACGCGCTTCTCCTCCGAATCCACCGGCACACTAGAAGATCTCGAAGAACACGACCCACTCGCGTTCGATAGCAAGATCCGGCGCAAAAAGAGCGCTGGTGATCTTAAGGTCCGGAAGGCGTCGTATAGAGACTCCGAGTCTGCGACACCATTCCCTACGCAGCAAAGGAAAGCGCGATGCGCACCAGGGAGGTGCTGCTGCTGGCTGCTGGTGTTTGTCGCCGCCACCGTCTTGATACTTGCGTCTGGAGGCATATGGGCATACAAGGTCTCAGTGCCCGAAGATGGACTGAGTCCGCCGTGGTATCCTTCGCCAAAAGGTGGCACCGACAAGGCATGGGAGGATAGCTACAAGAGGGCTGCGGAACTGGTAAAGCAGATGACGCTACCTGAGAAGGTCAACATCACAACGGGAACTGGCTGGAGCATGGATCTCTGCGTCGGCCAGACCGGACGGGTAGACAGGTTGAAGTTTCCCAGTTTGTGTCTACAGGTACGTACAATTGACATGTGGGTACGACTATACTAAGGTATCTAGGATGGCCCACTGGGTATTCGATTCGCCGACAACATCACCGCGTTCCCTGCCGGCATTACTACCGGCGCAACATGGTCCAAGGAACTCATGTACCTACGCGGAAAGGCACACGGAAAAGAAGCACGACTCAAGGGCGTCAATGTCCTGCTGGGTCCCGCCATGGGGCCTCTTGGAAGAATGCCAGCTGGTGGTCGGAATTGGGAAGGTTTTGGATCAGATCCAGTTCTACAAGGCATCGGAGCCGCGCAAACTATCAAGGGTATCCAGGATGAGGGTGTCATGGCTACCGCCAAGCATTATGTTGGCAACGAACAAGAGCACTTTAGGCAGGCATGGGAATGGGGCCTTCCGAACGCCATCTCGAGTAACATTGACGACCGCACACTGCACGAGATCTACGCATGGCCTTTCGCTGACTCTGTCAAAGCTGGGGTGACTAGTGTTATGTGTTCGTACAACCAGGTCAACTCCAGCTACGCCTGTCAAAATTCCAAGCTACTGAACGGAGTTTTGAAAGACGAGCTCGGTTTCCAGGGATTTATTCAGAGTGACTGGCTCGCGCAACGTTCAGGTGTGGCCAGCGCTCTTGCGGGCTTGGATATGACGATGCCAGGAGATGGCCTAAGATGGGCCAAGGGCAACAGCTTGTGGGGTCCTGAGCTCACTCGAGCGGTCCTTAATGGCAGCGTGCCCATTGATCGTGTCGACGATATGGTCACTCGCATCGTGGCATCATGGTATCAAGTCGGTCAGGACAAGTGGGAAATCGACGGACCGAACTTTTCTTCCTGGACCAATGATCGGGTGGGCAAGCTTCATGAGGGCAGCCCATCGAACCACAAGATGGGCGTTGTAAACCAGTACGTCAACGCGCAAGGAGAAGGAAAAGAGGCCCACAGCCACCTAGTACGTCGTGTCGCAGCCGAAGGCACTGTCTTGGTGAAGAACGAGGGCAAGATGCTACCTCTGGACCGCAAGGGCTGGAAGACTGGCGGCAAAGCCAAGACAAAGTTCCGCGTTGGTGTCTTTGGCGAAGATGCACGTCTTCCTCATGAGGGAATAAATCACTGCTCTGATCAAAGTTGCAACGAAGGAACACTAGCGTCTGGATGGGGTTCTGGCGCGGTGAACTTTTCGTACCTTGTAGAGCCCATGTCTGCTATTCGAAACGCGTTCGACAACGAGACTGTATACGTCACTGACTGGCTGGAGAACAAGCTTCCTGCTCAGAAGGAGATCCTCGTAAATCAGGATCTCTGCATTGTCTTCGCCAACTCCGACGCTGGCGAGGGCTACGAGCATTACGGAAGCATTCGTGGTGACAGGAATGACCTTAACCTGCAAAAAGGCGGCGACAAGCTGATTCAAGATGTCGCTAAAGACTGCGGAGAAGGCATGGGTGACGTCGTAGTTGTCATCCACAATGTTGGACCTGTCATCCTGGAGAATTTCATCGACATCATGAACGTCAGAGCCGTCATCATTGCCAACCTACCCGGAACCGAGTCCGGTAACGCAATCGTAGACGTGCTCTTTGGCGACGTCAATCCATCTGGGCGTTTACCCTACACCATCGCCAAGAAGGAAGACGACTACGGTCCAGGCAGCAAGATCAAGTATCTTCCTAGCCCATCCGACGGTTTGGCGCCTCAGCAGAACTTCTCAGAGGGTCTCTACATCGACTACCGCCACTTCGACAAACAGAACATCACCCCACGATTCGAGTTTGGCTATGGTCTTTCGTACACAGATTTCAAGCTGTCTTCCCTCTTAATCGAGGAAAAGGGCCCTAAAACACCTCTTCCCAAGCCGCGACCTGATGGCTTGACACCACCAAGTTACTCTACAGACCTACCAGATCCCAAGTCTGTGCTATTTCCTGAAGGGTTCAAGCAGGTGGAGCGATATATCTACCCATGGCTAGACTCTACAAAAGGCATCAAGCAGTCTGAGCCAATGACTCCCGCAGCGCCATCTCCCCTCAGCGAAGCAGGCGGTGGCCCAGGCGGTAACCCCGATCTCTACACCACGCTCTTGACCGTATCAGCATCACTAGAGAACGCTGGACCCGTGGATGGCTCATCAGTAGTCCAACTATACATTGCTTTCCCACAAAACTACAAGGATCATGAGACAAGCGAGCCTGTTGACTTTCCCGTCCGTGTGCTGCGAGGGTTTGAGAAGATCCATCTAGAGAAGAATGCAGGGAAGCTTGTGCAGTTCGAGGTGACGAGAAGAGATTTGAGTTATTGGGACGTCAAGAGGCAGAACTGGGTGCTTCCTAATGGCGAGTTTGGTATTGGTGTAGGGTTCTCAAGCAGAGACTTGCCGTTGGAAGGCAAGTGGTGAGGCGGTATCATATGGATAGAGGCGTAACTGGTTTAATGTTGGTGTTCCGTTTGTGTTGTTTATCGATATCCCATATACACATTCTATCGCTAACTTTGATTTTACTATCGCTTGTACTGCACCGCTTTCAGGGTTCCCGCAACTACGTCTTCTCTAAACAAGCTTACAGCTCACTCTTTCCTACATCGGCTTGCCCTTCAATCGGTCTCCGGCCTCTGGCAAACAAGATCGTGCGCCACAGTTTCTTGCCAGCAAACTCCATGTAATTCCTCTCCTTCATCGTTTTGACGTCAACATCCACGAATCCGGCTTCAGTGAAAAATTGCTTTACGCCTTCGATAGTGAAGTGCGGGACTACGATAGAAGCTTCCATCTTTTTGCGAAACTCAGGCGTGCTGTCACCGATGTCGTGCTTTTGCTCAGCGTTATGGTGGTGCTGATGCCCATGATGGTGGTGACTGTGCGAGTTGGAAGCCTTCTCCTCGCCATGACTGTGATGATGTCCATGCCCTCCATGATCATGACCATGCTTATGATCGTGCACAGCGTGATTCCCCTCACTCCCCTCGATCGGCTTCCCATCCTCGCCAGCCAACAAATCTCCTCCCTCCAAAAAATCATTGATGACCAATACACCACCTGGCCTCAACCTCTCCTTCAACTGACTAGCAGCAAATACCACATCCTCGAAGTGGTGGAACCCAAATCCCACAGTCGCAAGATCAAAGTTCCAGAATTCTGGTCCTGACAGCGGTTCTGGCACAGGGTCAGATTTGATGAACAAGTCGCCCACCACGGCGCTGACAACATCTTCAGAGATTCCGGCGTCGCGGGCACGCGTGTTGTATGTATCGACCATCTTGGGTGATATGTCGATACCCTGGGTTTTGGTGACGTAGGGCCCGAAGACACGTGTCATGAGGCCTGTTCCGCACGCATAGTCCAGAAGACGGACTTGACTGGCTTCTGTGTTGGATCCTGTGTTGGTGAAGGGGATACCTACCCAGGTTAGGTCAGAGCGGAGGGCGTCGGCGACTCGGTCGTTGACGACTTTGAACCAAGGCTTGGAGTCGTAGGAGTCAGATATGGCACTGCGAGATGTTTAGGACATGTGTATTTGATAAGTTAGAAAAGGGTATAGCGTACTCGAAATACCGACGGTTGGCCTCTGCGTAGCTCATCTTGGATGGTGGGTAGATCTTAGGAGACTGAGGGGTTATTCGAGAAATTTGGTAGAGATTGTGTAGTCTTGGTGAGGATACGAGATGTTTTGAAACTGAGGAACTATGAGCAATTGGAAATTTGTAGACGATTCAATGTCCCTTTTGTGTGTTGAAAGAGGCTATGAGGATGGAATTAAAGTCGCCGATCTGGCTCGGAGACATATGTACGCTAAGCCTCTATTGGTCGAGCATCACTTATTGGATGCACAGGATGCTACACAATATGTACGGACTTAGCAACGATGTAGCAAAGAAGTAGCCATACAGGACTATCGGCAATTTATGTAGAGGTGCGCAATCCTTCGAGTATCGCTTGTTTTGCTTCTAAGGTGTGAACACAAGTTGCCGGAGACATTCTAGTATGGCTCCACCAAGGCGCAGAGAAGCCTCCGTTGACCGCGACCTCGAATTCGCCGTCATGCTTGATAGTAAATGAGTCATGCCAGGCGGTGCCTAAGAGGAACCTTAGCTATCAAGGAAATACAGTGGTTTACATCGGCCTTCTCGGCTTGCATTGTTGCCACGTATCGAAGATGCTTTCTATTGTCGTTGCGCCTACATATTCGTGTAGTGTAGTATCAAGAGAGTATCCCTTCCATGCTGCCTACATCTGCTTCTGTCAACGGATTGATGTTGCCTCCAGAGTTCTGACTCTGCAAAGCTTGTTGTCGCGCAAGCCCTTCTTCTCTCTTTCGCCGCTTCCTGGCGTCTGCATCTTCCCAACCTGGCTTGGATCCGTTCGAAAGCTTCGGTTTGTAAGTTTCCAAGAGGGCCTGGCGAAACCGGCTTATGCGATCGAGATTGATTTTGAAGCGCTCGTTGGCAATGTTGACCAATGTTCGCAGATACCGTTGGTCTACCAGAGCAATGTTACTCCCACCGCCTTCTCGATAGCCGATAATAGAATCGAATGAATACCCAGCTGACCGGACTGCCACCATAGGATTCGACTCTCCCGTGTTCGCCGATCCTAGGCTCACAGCGCCGCTCTCGCGGAATCCGGCAGTCAAGGCAGCAGTGAGAACCATTTGGGCATGGTCCATTGATGCACTCAGGACGTGGAGTATCTATGCCCCGTCAGAGTCTGCAGAAGTGCTGTAATAACCAAGATTACCATGGGTTCAAACTTGAGATGAATGTATCGGCAGGAAACACTAGGTGTTTCCTCCCCAGTCTCAATCTTCTGCAAGCCAAATTCTGACATGAGATCATGATTCCCTTCTACACGCTCAACTGGCGTATGTGAAATGAACAGCCATGCACCCCCACCACCTTTGCCTCCCGGACCAGCACGTGACTCTTCTCCTTCAAGCGCGGAATCTGATGCTTCGGTGTCTGCTTTACGCCCTTCTAAAAACACACTAATGCGTCCCGAGCAGCTGCTTGTTGTGACTAGACCTTGGAGCTTGTTAATCTCGCCGATTAGGTCTCGAATAGGCGCATCAACGGAGCCTTTTGGCGATAGATCGTGGTACTCGCCATCTGGAGCATCGAGTTGTTCCAGGATCTTTTGCTTGCGTGCTTCGAAGCGAGTCGGCATGTCCGTCGTGCTCTGTGGCTGTGTGAGAAACTCGTGACAACGCGCCATATTTTCGCGTTCAAGTGCGTCATCAATGGTCTGTGCGCACAGTCCCTTCCAAACAACCACGTAGACATCTGCAGTCGCAACCAGGTATTCCGCTTATCGGTTCCGCGAACCCGCTAAATCGACATCATGCCACGTAAAGCTACCAAAAGTGCCAGTGCCTCGGCTTCCAGGAGCTCTTCCAAACGTCCCGCACCGGAGGTTCCAGCAAGGCAGTCTAAAAGAGCACGGGCTACGGTTAGGAAATCTTACGTCGAGCCTGAAAGCGACTCGGATAATGAGGGGGATAAATCGAAGAAAGTTTCACTATCCAAAGATGACGATGATGAGGGCGTAGCCTCCGACTACAAGGAACAAAGCGACAAGGATCCATCGTCGGAATCTGAGCCTGACGAAACTGCCAGTGACGATGACAATGAGATCAAGCAGGCAACTCTGAGAGGACGCACCACCAAGAACCTTCCTATACACAAAAAGGCTGCTGAAGAGAAAGAGCTTTGGAAACCCGGAGCGAAGCTCGCACCAGGAACGCAACTGGTTATCAAGAAGCCGAAGGCCCGGGATGCAGGCGACACGCCATACTTGGATCACACGATCCATCCAAACACGATGTTATTCCTCAAGGACCTAGCGGCTAATAACGACCGCCAGTGGCTGAAGCGTATGTAACCTTTGTTATGCTTCATGTCATGAGGCGCCACCGGACTGCCCGCTAATATCAACAGTCCATGATCCTGATTTTAGAGTTTCGTTTCAGGACTTCACCACGTTTACGGAGAAGGTATCAGAGAAGATCATTGAGGCCGATGAGACCATCCCTGAACTACCGGTCAAAGACGTCGTAAGTGTGAACGACTGGGTTGGCACAAGTGACACTGCTAACGAGCATAGATTTACCGAATTTACAGAGGTGAGCCTGAAGCATGGCTGTAGTTGGACTGCGCTCACAATCCAAGACATTCGATTCTCGAAAGACCCTACCCCATACAAGGTGAGAAAACATTTCGACTTTTAAATGGGAGAGTAGGGCTATACGTTTGAAACCGTATATCGAGGTGTAGAGGCACAAGATGCAACGTTACGCATCTAATTGTCACTTTACGCAACCTTGCCTGCGCCTCGAAAGATGCCTTCATAACTATGCTCTGTCATGACAGAGGTTCAAAGCAGGCTAATCTGATCTAGACTTACTTTTCTGCGGCTTGGTCAAGGACTGTGAGTTACGTCTATGCAGCAGTCTACGCGAGCGACAAACTGACTCCGGACCTAATTTTAAGGGACGCAAAGGGCCTTACGCTCACTACTACATTCAGGTGCAACCCAATGGTGGGAGCTTTGTAGGTATGTTTAATTCTCTTCCTCTCTCGCGTGTGCGCAGACGCTCTAGCCACGAAATGTCGCAAAACCCCGAGTGAAGCGAGGCGCAACCTCGTGTCCGCCGCGGTTCTTCTTTCGATCCAATGCGCATAAAGTACGCATGTATGCCCGGTGGCCGCCACCATAAGATCAAGGACGGGCCGAGACCTTGCGGCTTTTCTCCTCGTGTAGCCGAGCCTCGCACTCCATACTGTATTTTGCCGTAGCACGACCGCTATGCTATAGATGACAACGAATTGTCATTAGTGTGATTGGCGACCCTCGCCAGCGCTGAACACCATGGCTATGCCTGGGACATGGATGTTCAATATACCCCGCTGCTGGACTTATGTTCCTATCCGCGGTCGGATAGCGTAGCGTAGCATCACAGCTCCAGTGTTATACTGTGGGGTATTTCTGGGAGGGTGTATCGGATCGTTTCGAGGTTCGGTCGTGTGTACTTCGGTGTCGTCGGGACGATACTTGTCTAATGCACGCCAGTGCATAGTCGTCTTGCCTACGCAGATAGCAACACATTCAACGGCGCGATAACATCTCTAGCGCTGTATAACCATCATTGCGATTATACTCTTACAGACACACGCTGACTTTGGAAGGTGGTGGCTTCTGGCAGCCGGACGCGACAACCCTCGCGAAACTTCGACGTGACATCGACCGCAAACCGCACAGGATCAAGGCGGTTCTGACTGACCCTGGCATTCGGGAGGCATTCCTCGATGGTATTAAGGATGACGAGAAGAAAGCTGTCAAGGCTTTCACGAGTCTGTCGATGAATCAGTCGAATGCTCTGAAGCGTAATCCGAAGGTGAGTCCCCTCAGTTTTACCTTTCCTTTTCAGAGGCCATTGTAGCAAACGATAGTCCTTGTATTACCAAGCAGGAAGATGCCTGTGGCGCGTCTCACATACGAAATTCTCTGTGAGGATAAAACAATTCCTGGATGGTCCCGCGACAGATTTGGCGGGATCGGGTGTCCTCCGCAGCCTGGCACAGATCAACTCCAAAACTAGCCCGGGAACTTCCCGCCTACAAGGATGCATTTCTATGAAACTCTTCCGCTACACCATCTTGCCAACGGCACACGACAACGATAACATGCAACTAAGCTTCAGTCTTCGTACTGGAAAGTTGTGCGTTACAACAGTGTGCCGTCCAGCAAAATAGAATTTCAAATTGCCCCGCACTCAACAAGTCAAGCTGAGTTTGAGTTGTTGTAGCTAGCACGCTTTCAACGGGCGGGGGTCTCTGCTGGTAGCAGCGTCACTGCCTGGTTGCGGAGTTTCCTATGAACAACCTTCAGTCTCACTGGGCTTGTTCAAGTTTGCTGACAGCTCTCAGGGATATGACCATGATCACAAGGATATTGAACTCCTGCGGCTCCGCAATTTCACCATGGGGCGAAAGCTTGCAGACGACGAGGTCGTCGGTATTGGAGGTCTGGAGCGCGTGAGTGAGCTCGTAGCCAGTATGGTGCCTTTCGTAAGTCTAACGTCTCGTATTCTTGACATTGATGGTATAACGCTTTCATTGGACACTCTAAGATAAGAGCGGCGGCAACTTGTTAGGGACGTGCCTGTACATCGCAAGCCATGGGGTGACTATAGTGCCGGCCAGTCGTGTGTTGGCACTGCAGTCACCCGCCCATCATGGCATCGTCCAGATGTGGAGAACCCAGAGTAATCTTGCTAAGGCGTTGCACATGAAGCCGCTAACGACAATGGCAGATCACCTATCTTAACAGCATCGCGATGCCCGACAATGACACGTCAGACTCGAGCGACGGCGATGGAAGCGATGCCGAGCCCAACAATGACAGCAGCGCTGCAGAGGATGACGAGGCTTGATGAAGGCAATTTCAACAACGCATGCTCGGGGCGCGGTTCTTCCAGCCGAAGTCATTTGGATGCATACATTGGTGGAGCGTGGAGGAGTGGGCCGCACAAGCGCGAAGCCCGCCAATAGACGCCTGTGTAACCCTGCGGCAGTGGCGCTGACTGGCTGGTCCAGGCGAAAGGCCCAAGTCATCCTGCATTAGTGTTGTTCGCCCGTTCAGATTGCTCGGGTAGAAAGTCTTGGCAGCAGCGCTAGTCGGTCATGTGACCCTAGTGCTTGCGTAGGACCGAGATATGCAGGACTAAAATTTAGCAGATCCTAATAGGAAAAGCCTCTCTACGACCCTGGTCCCAGTTCTTTCGCTCAAACGCGGGCCTGCCGTCTTTCCTTAGCGGCTCCTGCTTGGCTCCAGCGAGCCAGGGGAGGCAGCGCACATTGCTCACTTTTCGCTCGTCTTCGATGATGACCCAGTATGCATGGCTGACCGCATCGACGCCAAAGTCTCGTCGATGACAGTGCAGAAACTAGGTGTACAGCCATCGCTTCGTATAATCGCCCGGTCGTCACCTGCCCTCTGCGCAATGTCCCTTTGGGCACTGTGACATGCTGCACACCAGCACGTTGCGTTAGGCTTTAGCCACGGCCCGGGGCGCACTTGTTGTCCGTCTGGGATGCATGGGTTTCCGCCCTAAACGCGTCTGATCAAGGCCAGCTCAGCGGCATCTCATGACGATAGCTTCAACGAATCTTTACCGGCGCCGTGAGTCACTGGCGGTTAGTTGCTGCATCGCTGAGCGTCATGCACCCACGGGAAGCGGAAAGTCGAGCGGCTTACACTATTTGGTCACATTTGACGTGGTGTAAGCATGACGCCAGCAGCTCCAACACGAAACCTTGAGAATCGCAATGCTAACTTTGCCGAGTCTAAATACTTCGTTTCAACTAAGCTGTGAAGCTTTTGGAAGTTTAGCAAGTCATCAAAAGGCGGTGTGTTTGTAAGGCAGCTCGTCGTGCCCTTCAATCCCACCGTCCCTCACACCGATGAGCCGCTGATATTTCGTTCTTCCGCGAATTAGCACGCTTCGGGCTGATCCATCGACCCGCAATGGCTTGCGTCCGCTTATCCACCCCTTCCGCGTCTCTCATGATATTTACCGGCGTTTGTGACACAGCTGGATCCTGCAAAGCCAGAACGTGTCGCCTTACCCTTTTAGGCCCTCCCGACGTGTTCAGTAAGGCGAATATACACGGCGGTTTGCCCGAAGGTGAGGCGGACGGACGCTGCGGTACAGGACGGAGGTAGAATACCGCTTATCCGAGAGGATGTCGTCCCTCATACGACTACTGCAAGGACGGAGCTTCTGTGTTGAACCATCAGCATGATGCGGTACTGCGGCGCATCAACAGCATCAACAGCATGTAAAAGAATGCGTGCTCACCGATGCATAGCCATCACCAGACTGACCGCGCCTCTATCGCACCAGCACACCTTGACAGATCGGTGAGTGTTGTTTGTTTTGTAATGGCCGCGGATGCGTTGTGAAAGCATTGTCTGCGTTCTTTCTGCCTGTCAGACACTAGAACGGCGGCACAGACTGCGATTCGTCTTGGAGGCTTGACGATATCTTCCCGCCCGATATGTCTGCATTTGGATTTACGTGCAGATGACTGTGCACGAACCGCGGCACAAGAGACATGGCCGCTTGCACTGCTTATGGTGACACAAAAGGGCAGCCTCCACAATCTCCAGCGATGCTATGCATATTGCGGGAAGGCTCCGGTGACACAAACTTCGTTAATCTAAATATCAACGGGACACTCGCGGGAATTCCACATCTCGTCCCGGGCCGCTCACACACATGGTACCAATTGAGCATCTCCAAGTTGCCAACTCGCTGTTTCGCGATGTCCATGAACACTACCATGTCTAAACATTGCCTACGCTCCATGTCGCAGTGGTGATGAACGTTACGCGGCTATTTCCTTGGTGAATCGACTGAGGCGGCTGAAGATCACATCCAGAACAGACCCCGGTTGATCTACCCCACAATCCGTTCACTTGGTGTAACCGTCATCAGCGGCATCCAACGGCACTTTGCAATGCGTGCAACACAAGGCTGCTGACATTCATTTATTGTCATTGTAACAGCTTGCTCCATGGGCCGATTCTTCCAGGCCGACTGAACTCCAGACGAATGACTGCATCGGTCCTCATTTATCGTGGGCTCGTGACTGACTCAAAGGTCAGAATGCGGTGTGGCAAACAATCAAATTACAACCAGAATCAAATGCGATTGGTTGCAACCGGTCAGCCCGCTTGATACAGTTCCAATAAGTGAAGAGGGTACCGTGTCCGGAACGACGGCTTTGACCGGTTCAAACACGTCTTGTGACCAAGGCAAGGTTTTTTTTGCTCTAGCATGGCACGATAGGATTTACCCGTCGAGCAGCAGATGCAAGGCACATGCCAGCTGGAAAGCTGAGATTTGCCCAAGTGAGTTGAATACTAGGCATGGGACGTGCTGATTGGTTGATTAAATTTGACCGAGACCTGGACGGTGGAAAACCAAGCACGAGATTCTGCGGGCCGTCCGCCCCAATCTCAAGGCAAAGGACGGAGTGTTTTGGCATGTGTGGATAGTCACGAACTACTGCTGACGATTCTTTGTTGAAAATGTCGGCGTCGTCACCTATATGCAGCCAGTTGAAGATAGGCCGGCGAGATGCCGAGGCTGAATACGCCCTGGGCGTTTCGCGATTCTCCATGCTACTGTGCCTACATCCGCACAAGTCCGAGATTCGTCACCAGGCGGGCGGTCATCCGGCACCGCCACTACCAAAGACGACTTTGACAAGTGCCGTTGACTTGTGTGTACCGTCTGTCTCGAGAGTCATGGAGGCGTCGAATCAAGGGCGCGAAGGGGCGGTTTGCCATGGGCACCAGTTCACAAGCCTACGCCGGCGCAAGGGATGAACGGTTTGCCAAATAGTGGATGCCAGATTGAGAGGCGTGATTCGAGGACGAAAGTGGGCTGGGTCGCATGCCACCCGTCTTACACGAAGCAATAGCAGCTGAGGATGAGGAAGTCGGTACATTTTTCTCCCACACGCAAGACTGGCCAGAATTGGCTCTATTACCAACCAGCTTGTGGATTGGAGGCAAAGTGCTGATGCTGCTGCTGCTGCTGCTGCTTTGAACGAACGGTTCTCCCGGCGCAAGACATCGGCTTTCCCGTACACTGCCCCGCGAAGGAGTGCCTGAAGTCGCCGAGACGCACCGGCATGTCCTTGACTAGCGAGCAGAGGCACTCACGTCACAGTTGTCCGAGCAAAGGTGGTTGCCGAAGAGTTAAACACCAACAGTCAGACAGGGATGTTGCCGTCCTTGTCGAGCAAAGTGGCCGACGCCCCGAATTGATCAGCCCTATCAGACATGGCAGCAAATGAAAAAGACGGCAGGCCGCGTCGCGGTCTTCGAGGAAAGGCACATTTGTGATCCCTGCTTGATGGTGGATCTTGATGCGGGAGGCCACAAACAGTCGTCACTTGGGACGAGGATTGTCGAGAGCCGTCACGACGCATGTGTAAGAAGAAAAGCATAGCAGTAGAATGGCAGCAGGCTTCGCAGCAGGTCGCCGGCAAGAGGAGGCACGGTACGACCAAGCTGACCGGATGCAGGCGCGTACCGTGGTTCGTGAGCTGTCGAATGCGCGAGCTATGGGCTTGGCAAAGGAAGCGACACGAGGGACGCAGAGACGGGCCGTAGACGATTCAAGAGCCCGAGGTGGTTCCATGAGTCGAGGCGACTGTGCCACCTGGGACGCATGCGAGCTGCAGACGACGGGTAGGCTCTCGCACAAGCGCGGTGCAGCCAGCGCAGAGTTTGGCAGCAAGCGCAGGCGGGCTTAACAATGACATGACGGATGATGTAACCCTTGGGCTTCTAGAGTATTTACTGCGGCGCCGTGTATGTAATTAAAGGCTCGTAGATCACAGCGCGACGGGAGTCCCCGAGGTCTTGGCGAGTCACACATCTCAAGCAAGCTGCCGGCCCGCAGCAGCATCATGCACATGGGTGGTAGACAAGGTATGGAGAGTGGCCATGGTCATGGGCGTGGCCGTGGTCCATGTCATGGGCGCCGTCATAATACACTTGCCAAACAGCAAGGGGGGGCGTGGCTCGTAGTCTGGGTGCGACGAGGTAGGGGCGCCTCGTATGTGTGCGTGTGTGTGTGTAGCTGTAGCTCGTCTACGCGGGTGGTTGTGGGCTGCACGTCGTGCTGCAAGTGAGGGTGCCGCATGGCATTTAGCGCGTTTGGCGGACCGTCGCCGTCGTCGCTGCATGGGGCCGACAGGGCTAAAAACGCCATGCCAGTAGAAGCGGCGAGAAGGTTGAGTTCGGGCACGCGGTGGGTAGTAATAGCGGCCGCTCCAACCTGAATCTCCTTTTTCGCTTCCACGCTCTTGGGTCCCGTCTCCTCCACGCGCTTCGAGAAGGCTTTCACTCCACAGCCTCCCTCACCTCACCTCTCTCTCCTACGACTCCTGCCTCGACAACAACCGCCGCCTCACACCCTCAGGTGGCCCAAAGCAATTCCTCCGACCCGCCCCCGTCCCCTCTTGGCCCACACCCATCGCCCAATTTGCACTGCTCAGCGTCTCACTCACCACCTGCAGCCGACGTTGCGGCCCGCTTGCCAGTATTTTGTGACACCTCACCCGCCCCAGAGCATCTCCCGCACCACCACACGCCCTCTTCGCACAACTGAGCTGCTCCGGCCGCTGCGTTGCACTGGGAGAGAGCGCGCCGTGACAACACCACGTTGCGCCCGCCATCCACCAAAGCTCCTCCCTCGACCGCCCAAATCAAACCATGTTCCCTCACCAGGGTGGCCAAGGCCAGCTTCCCGCTCACTGGCAACCGCCCACTGCCCAGCAGCCCGCGAATGGCTCGTATGCGCACCCTCCGCATGTAAGTTGAACTTGTTCTCGTCACGCGTGCCTGCACGTC